GCCAGGAAAGCAACTTCCTCTATTCCACCATCTTGAAAAGGCCCCTCTCCATTTACATTTTGATACTTTATTTTCAGAACCAGGACTACTCTTTCTAGATGAAAAAAAAAAWTTTTTTTTATTTCTAAATTTCTATCACTTATTATTTCTTTAAATTCATATGTTTAGTATAGGGTTCAAGGCTCTTGGTAAAGGAAGTCATTTAATTCCTAWTGAAAATGTAATAGTTCTTTAAATGAGAAATTATTTGATTTGTTTTTAAGAAATTCTTAAAGAAATATTAAGAGCTTTCTTGAATTGGATAATTCTTTATACATGTATGTGGTTTTTCTTATGTTGTTTTCAACATACTCTGTTTTAGTAGTTTGATTATGATGTATCTAGGTGTAGCTGTCCTTGAACTTATTCTTCTTGGAGTTTGTTAAGCTTTTTACATGTGTACATTAATGTTTTTCTTCAAATCTGGGATATTTTTGGCTGCTATTTCTAAAAATGTTTATTCTGCCCCTTTGTCTCTTTTCTCCTGAAATGCCAATGTATATGTTAACATACTTGATGATTGTGTCTCATAAGTCTCTGAGGTTTTGTTCATTTTTCTTCCTTCTTTTTTCTTTTCATTCCTCAGATGGAAATTTTCATTTGACCTTTCTTCAAATTAGCCAGTTTTTTCTTCTGCTGACAAGAATCTATTGTTGAGCCCTACTGGTGAAGTTTCATTTTATTCATTGTAATCTTCAACTCCAGAATTTGGTGTGTTTTTTCATGTATATATTTCAATCACATTATTGATATTCTCTACTTGGTGAGAAATCATTTTCTCATTCTTCCGTCTAATTTTTTAGACATGATTTCTTTTAGTTCTTTGAATATATTTTTAATGATTGATTTAACTTTTATTTGATGATTTAAAGTCTTGCCCTGTAAGTCCAATATCTGCTTCCTCAAGGATGATTTCTATTGACCACATTTTTTGTTTTCCTGTGTATAGGGCCATACTTTTTTGTTTCTTTGCATGTCTCATAATTTTTTGATTGAAAACTGGATATTTTAGATACAGTATTGTGGCATATCTAGAAATCAGATCCCACCTCCCCAGACTTTTGCTTTAGTGGGATGGGGCAGGGCTGGGAGACTGCTATCTGCTTAGTGACTTTCCTAGACTGATTTTATAAAGTCTGTATTCCCTTTCATGTGTGGCCACTGAAATCTGTACTCAGTTAACTTGGTGGATTACTAATCATTAGAAAGTGACTTGCTTAAGTATCTAGAAGCAGTAAGTCTTCATCCCTTTGCCAAGGAGTTCTTTATGCAGGTTGTACTTGCTTGGCCTGTAGCATTTTACAACATTTTCTTAGCCTTTATTTCTTGCTTGCACAGGGCCTCATGGTCAACCTGAGGTGTTCTCTCTGGTCTGTTAATCATGCACACTGCCCTACACATTTCATGGCTCCAGATCCCTTTGAATATGTCAGAGCTTTACAAAGCCTCCTATGGACATCTCATTCCCCAGGTCGACTTCCTTGTGAGATCTCTTGCCAATCTTTGGTCCCAGTTTCTATCATTCCTTTAACCTGCTGAGATTTTAAACAACCTTTGCTGATGGTTTTCAGCAAACACTCTGAGGATAGACTTTTTTTCTCAGCAAACGGAACTCTTGAATTGTGTGAGTGTAACATTTTCAGTTAGCTGCCAGACAAGTCAAATAGTGACAGTGTTTTGGAGGTATGATTTTTTATGGAGCTCCAAACCTCGTCTGTGAAGTTGCTGATTTTTAAGGCTACCAATGATATAGGGAAAGGAGGATAAGAATAGGGCAAGTTTGAATGCCATAGAACTCACTATTTTTAATGAGAATCAGTCATTTTTCTTAAATAAGTATTTCTCAGCTTTTGTAAGCTTTWTTTTTTAATTACCAAAATTTTAAAAAGTTAATTTTTAAAGATGAAAGATTTTTGTCAGTGTACTTGTTGTTTACTTGGAGGAACAGATTTTTGGAGGTTGTTACTCTGCCATTCTGGAAATAAAAATTATCTGTATGTGCTTTTTTCCAGTTTATTTATTTATTTAATAATAAAATAATGAAAATAATAGTAGTTAATTGTTGATGAACACARTATCTTTTTATTTGTTTATTTTTATGTGGTGCTGAGGATTGAACCTAAGGCCTCACACATATGAGGCAAGTGCTTTACCACTGAGCTACAACCCCAGGCCCTATATGTGCTTTTAAAATTAGTGTTTATGTCATGATTGATGTTTTAGCAAAGGACTGAAAACTGATTAAGACACAAAGGCAGGCATTAAGAATGGATTAATTATTATTTTGAAGAATTGATGGTAGCCAGAAATGAGCCAGACACATCAAGAGTAGTATTAGAATATACATGTAGCATTTCAGGCTGGGACCCATTCTCCTTGTTCTGCTTGCTAAGAACATGTAATGAACATTGTAAAGCATATGAAAAATGAAAAATAGACTGGTGTACAAGGACAAGCTAAAATAGTTGTAGAAAGGAAAACTGAGAAAAGTCATACCTGAAATGCAAAAACTAAGCCAGGCATGGTTGAGCTAGAGAATCATGAGTTGGAGCCCAGCATGGGCAACATAGTGAGACATTTTTGTTTCTGGCKCGGATACCTGGGATTGAACTCAGTGTCAGTCAACCACTGAGCCACATCCCCAGCCTAGTTTATATTTTATTTGAAGACAGGGGCTTACTGAATTGCTTAGCTCCTAGCTTTTGCTGAGGCTGGCTTTGAACTTGCCATCCTCCTGCCTCAGCTTCCTGAGCCGCTGGGATTACAGGCGTGCGACACTGTGCCCAGCCATAGTGAGCCTCCTGTCTCAAAAATTAATTAATTGCCATTTGACCTAGCTGTCCCACTCCTGGGTTTTTACCTAAAGGACTTACAATCAGCATACTACAGTAATGCAGCTATGTCTATGTTTATAGCAGCTCAATTCACAATAGCTAAAATATGGAACCAACCTAGGTGTCCTTCAACAGATGAATGGATAAAGAAAATGTGGCATATATATTTCAATAGAATATTTGTCGGAGTCCAGCTCCAACAGGGGGTCTCAGGAGACGAACGGATGGTGAGGAGTCAGCGAAAGGGGGGTGGAGAAACAACACAGACACCAAAGTGAAGGTGCTGAATCTCAATCTTTACTTGTGAAGTTGACCATATATACTTTTCATTTTGGCAGGCTCACAGTACTTTGTGGTTACAAAACAGGAATTTTATTCAAAGAAACAAAATATTACCTAGCTACAATTAGATAAGAAGAATGTCTCTTGGCTTAGGCATAAGCAAGCATTTGTATTTTCAGTTCGCATTTTGCTTTGAGCTGTTTCTGCTTAGTTAACTTTTAATAATAGTTAGAAATGTCCCAAACTATTGGCCTATACCTTGACTATTCTTTCTTGACTTACTGACTGGAACYGGTGCCATGGTTACGGCAAGTGGTTAACTTGTTATTAATTTTAATCAAACAAGAGTAAGAACACAAACTATTGTGCACAGGAACAAGAACAAGTTGGCCAGTACTAAGCACTAATCTGTCTTCTTAACATTAATTCTTCTTCTCTAGATTTTAATTTAATTTCTCAAAAACTTCCTTGACAGGAATACAGGGAGTTTTCCATTAGACATTAACAATTTATGTTCCACAGCTGAATCATTGCATTTAGAGCAAACAGATCTATTCTTTAGAAGTAGTTGCATTAATTGGGAAAGTCATGTTTTTTCCTTCATACTTAATGGTCATATGAGAAATCGCAACTATACTTATTAAAGGAATACAAAAACAAACCAGCCCATTCCCAGAAACATACTGCGCTCCTCCAGAGGATGGACACCTTGGGCCATCCACCTCAGTAGGGCCTTCCCATTGCCTGAGTCAGGGGAGGGGCACAGCAAATATTATTCAGCTTTAAAGAAGAATGAAGTTATGGCATTTGCCAGTAAATGGATGGAGTTTGAGAGTATCATGCTAAGTGAAATAARCCAATCCCCCTCAAAACCAAAGACTGAATGTTTTCTGTAATATGCGGATGCTAATTCACAATAAGGGGGGCGGGGCACTAGAGAAGAATAGTGTTACCATAGATTAGGTAGAGGGCAGTGAAGGGAGGGGAGGGAAGGGGATGTGGAGATTCAAAGGATAGGAGAACGAAACAGACATTATTACTTTATGTATATATGTGACTGCATGACCAATGTGATTCTACAACATGTACCCTCAGAAAAATAAGAAATTATATCCCATCTATGTATGATATATCAAAGTGCATAAATGCATTCTACTGTCATGTATAACTAATTAAATCAAATTAAAAAATTAAAAAATAATTAATTGACTAATTAGTTATTTCACAAAACTAATTGAAGACAATTTGTTTATTTAGTTCTAGAAATAATAAGCATTCCTTAAAGTTTTAAAAAGACTAACAAGTTTAGTATCCATTATCCTAAATGCTTGAGACCAAAATTAATTCAGACTTTTGAGTTTTTTATGTATTAGAATACTTGTATAGACTTTACACCCTTGATCTGAAAGTCCAAAATCCAAAAGGATCCAAAATTTGAAAATTTTTAAGCAACATGTCAACTCTTACAATATTTCAGGTTTTAGATTTTTAAGATTAGAATGCTTATAACATAGTAAAGAGAAAATTTCACTTTAAAAATACATTTTTAAACTTTTTTTCCCAAGAACTGGGTCAGGTAGAAAATCTGGAAGTTTAATTATACTATGGATTTATGGGTTATAGATCCATAAGTGGTTAAATATTAGAAACTAATATTTYTTGGAGGTATATCCAAGAGACTCTGGAAGCTAGCATCATCTTCTCTGAAACATTCCTTGGTGCACTGTCTGGGAATAACTGCTAGGCCAAATGGATACTGATGCAGTGTGGCATGGCATTTAATTGTTAGGATGATCTCTAATTAGGATTGTCCATGTAAAAGTATCTCATGTCTTTTTCTTTTAGGTTTGTTAAAGAAGGAGATACAGTGTCTCAGTTTGATAGCATCTGTGAAGTTCAAAGTGATAAAGCTTCTGTTACTATTACTAGTCGTTATGATGGAGTCATTAAAAAACTCTATTATAATCTAGATGATATTGCCTATGTGGGGAAGCCATTAGTGGACATAGAAACAGAAGCTTTAAAAGGTACTGTAACTATGTTCATCTCTTTTACCAAATTGATTACTGCTGTCTTTTTGTCATTGGAACAACTTATAGTTTTACCAACTTACAGGATCTGGGTTGGGTRTTTGAGAGACAAAATTAAGAAAATAGAAAAGGTTCTTAGTGATGCATGATTTTCTTTTGATATCATGAATAGTAAAATTTCATTTATTAGGAAGCCTGCCTTCTGAAAATCTTAGTGTTCAAAAAACAGAAAAACTCTCAAGAATTAAAGATTCAAGTCCTAAACACTAGTCACTAAGAACAAAAATTGGAGTATACAAAGATTAACATAATGGGATAGCTTGTATTAGTTTTCATTATGATAACAAAATACCTGATATGGGCAGTTTTTAAAGGAAAGGAAGTTTACTTAAAGTTTTATAGGGTTAAAGTCCAAGATTGGGCATCCCCATTGGTTTAGCCTCTGGTGAGGGTCACAGATGGCAGCCCATCACAACAGAGTGTGTCTAGGAGCGAATTGGCATATTTCAAACCATGAGCAGAGAGAACTCAAAGATTGCACAGGAACTACCCTCCAAGATCATGCCCCCAATGACCGGAGTGCCCACCTCTTTTTTTGTGTATGGTGCTTGGGTTTAAACCTAGGGCTTCACAAATGCTAAGGAGGTGCTCTACTACTGTGCTTCATCCACAGCCTCTTAAACCTCTTAAAGTTTCTACAGTATCTCATAATACTGCCACCCTAGGCACCCAGCTTCCTATTACAGACTCTTGGGGGAGACTTAAAGCACACCCAAACAATAGTAGCACTCATATGTACAAGCATTCTTTTAAAACCCAGACTTCTTTAGAAGAGAGAGAACAAAAAAGAAGTAAAACCAGAGTGGAAGTAAAACCAGAGTGAAAGTAAAGAGCTCAGCATTCCATAGCATCAGCACCTGTGGAACTTATAAGCAGGGAATATTATTCCAAAAGGTAATTCATTAAGATAATGTTATAGTGGAAAACTGAAACAATAGGTAGTCCCACTGGTGGCAGATATTTAACTCCCTACCTCAGAAGATTCCCACCCACCTCCCAAGCGGTGGTGGGAATGGGGTTCCCCTCGGTGGAATGGGCTGGCTGAGAAAGAAAAGCTGGTGTASAACTTGTGTCTCAAGCAATCCTCCTGCCTCAGCCTTTTAAGTAGCTGTGATTATAGGTGTGCACCACCACACCTGGCTGGAAATAGAGCGGCAAAAAACCCACAGAACACAGAAAGTGGGGACAGGAGGGGCAAGCTGACAGACGATCCACCTTCTGACAAAATGGAGCCCGTGCCTGCTTCATTTATATTTGGAGACATCAAAGAGATTCTATAGAATTTTTTTTTTCCAAAAAAGGTTAAATGTGGGTTGTTCAGTTCCTAACAGGTTATGTCCATCTTCAGCATTACTATGAGGAACCTTTCTAGCAGAGCAGAGGGGAAGATCACATGCATTGGGTGATCTGTCGTCCCCCAAGAGCCATGGGAAGTTCCCGATGCCAGGCCTGTCCCTTCCTGGCTTTCATGCCAAGAGAAGGTCCTCTTGTATTTCACGGATGGTTTCCTGCAGAAGGTCRCAAAACAAAAGTTATATCATCTATGAAATAGTCTCCCCCCCTTTTTTTGAGATGGGGTCTTGCTTTGTTGCTCAAGCTGGTATAGAACTTGTGTCTCAAGCAATCCTCCTGCCTCAGTCTTCCAAGTAGCTGTGATTATAGGTGTGCACCACCATACCTGGCTGAAAATCACTTTGATATCAGAGCCTGGGGAGTAATAAGTTCTGTGGTGGGATTCCTAAGCCAGCATTCCATCAGCAAGTGCTAAGATAAAGATATTTTAGTAGTATAGTTCAAAAGTCTGGGAGCAATATCCAAGTTATAGTGTAGCCTATATAATCATCATCATCATCACCTTTTTCAGAATCATTTTGCAATTTGTAAAATATTTTGCTCCTACTATTTTGTTTTATCATTTCATGTGAGGCAGCCCAGGATAAAGAAATGAACCCAATTTACTGGACATCGTGGCACATGCCTATAATCCCAGTGACTTGGGAAACTGAGGCAGGATGATTATAAGTTTGAGGCCAGCCTCAACCATTTAGCAAGACCTTCAGCAACCTTCAAGCAAGACCCTATCCCAAGACCCTGACTCAAATGAAAAAAAAATTTTTTTAAGGGAAAAGGGATGTAATATTCAATGGTAAAGTATCCCAAGATCAATCCCAAGTACAAAAAAGAGATGAAATCTAAATATTAGAATGCAATGCTAGAACCACTAAAATTTCATCAACCCAACAAAGTGATGAAATTATTTCAGATTAGTTTCAATGCCATTCTTAGTCTCTTTTACATTGGTAAAATTGAGAAATCTTCCCTGTTTATTGAGAAACCTCTCAATCTCTTCCCTGAGATTAATCTTCTTAGCATTTTTGTGATAATCAAAGAATAAAATATGTGTAAAAACACTATGGAAATTATTTGAAGTGCTGTGTAGTAAGGCCCTATTTTATTAATTAGAGCTTTACTCTAACAACTACATGACTATTACAATAATATGAGTTACTTCTCATATATACCCATGTTATTCTAAAAGGCAGTATTATAGTATTATATTATCACAAAATATTTTCCAGGAAGGTGAATAGCAGTGAATTACTAGATGTTTTGAAAAAATATAGAATAACTCTGTTATATGATACATTTGGATATTTATACATTTCCCTTATTTCAGCAAATATGTATCATCCAAGTTAGTATTGGAGYTCCTGTAATTATAACTTAAACAATACCAGGTATTGGTACCTACCTCCCATTCTATGCCTACCATTGATGTAGTTGCATGTTTTCCCACTCTAAAGTAGCCCAACTATAACCACTAKTATGCATTTTGACTATGAACTTGGAGTTTTAGATATTAGAGGCCACTAAGCTTTGTAAAAAAATTTTCTTGTTTCCAGATTCAGAAGAAGATGTTGTTGAAACTCCTGCTGTGTCCCACGATGAACACATACACCAGGAGATAAAGGGCCAGAAAACACTGGCAACCCCTGCAGTTCGCCGCCTGGCAATGGAAAACAATGTGAGTTCTCTTAATATCTAAGTCTGAAACTGCACAAATGTATACATTTGTATCTCTGAAAAAGTGGCCAACTATGCAGGATGAAATGGCTTATGTTAGGATTAACAAAAGATGAAAATGGCAGGGTGTGGTGGTGAATACCTGTAATCTCAGCTGCTTGGGAGGCAAAGGCAGGAGGATTATGTGTTCAAGGCCAGCTTTAGCAACTTAGTGAGGACCTAAGCAACTTAGTGAGATCCTGTCTCAAAATAAAAATAAAATATAAAAAGGTGTGTGTGGCTCAGTGGTTAAGAGCCCCTGGGTTAAGTCCCTAATACCAAAAAAAAGAAAAAAAAGATGTCTGTTATTAAAAAGTGATAGGGGGCTGGGATTGTGGTTCAGCAGTACGGCGCTCGCCTTGCACGCATGAGGCCCTGGGTTCAATCCTCAGCACCACAAAAAAAATAAATAAGTGAAATAAAGGTATTGTGTCCAACTATAACTAAAAAATAAATATTAAAAAAAAAACTGGTAGTGGCTGGGGTTGTGGCTCAGTGGTAGAGCGCTTGCCTCACATATGTAAGACACTGGATTCAATTCTCAGCACCACATATAAATAAATGCATAAAAAAATAAAGGTCCATCCACAGCTAAAATAAAATATATTAAAAAAAGTCTTAGTTGGGGCTGGGATTGTGGCTCAGCAGTAGAGTGCTTGCCTAGCATGTGCAAGGCCCTGGTTTGATCCTCAGCACCACATTAAAAAATAAATAAATAAATGTATTGTGTCCAACTACAACTAAAAAATAAATATTAAAAAAATAAAATAAAAAAGTCTTAGTGGCAAAACAGCACTTGAGAAAGGTAAGAAGGGATTATGAATTTATTACTTAACATTGAGCAGTGTGTTTTTATTCTTTCTTATAGCCTAATAACAKAGCATTTATACATAACAGTATCTTATGTCAGGTGACCTAGAAATACAACTTGAAGTAGGAATTTGGATGTCTGTGATTCATGTATTAAAAGAATAAAAATCTATGAAGGGAATGAGAGAAGCAGGATGGGAAAGGGAAAAGGAGAAATGGGACGTAGTAGCAAGGATAGGCTCTGATCCAAGAAAGATTGGGAGAACCACAGAATTGTACTGCTTAGAGGGAAGAAGGCAAACCATTTGTATTCCCTTTGCCAATCTGTATTGCCTGAGATGATCAACTTAAAAAGTGGAAAGGTTATTTGGTCTCAGTTTCAGAGTTTCCAGGCCATGACCAATTGGCCCCAGTTTTTTGGGCCTGTTGCAGCATAGTATGTCATGGTAGGTGTGCAGTAGGGGAAATCCATTCACCTCATGGCTGTGAATTGAAAGAAAGAAACCAAGCTCCACAGTCCCCCCTTAGGCACATCCCCAACAATTGGAAGACCTCCCACTAAGCCCCACTTCAAAGTTTCCACCATCTTCCAAAACCGAGGACCACATCTTTTAAGACATGGGCCTTGGGGGGACATTCCAGATCCAAACTATTGCACAGTTAGTGAGCAAATGGAGAGTATAATGAAGCCCATAAGTATTTATATATCATCTCATTTAACCATGTGAGATAAAGAGCTGTTCTCAGACTTGTAGATATAAAGTAACTAGTCTAAATTCACATAGCTAATACTACCAAGGAGCCAGAATGTAACAGTGAGTCAATTTCACTTCAAAACCAGTGTTCTCAGTCATCAGATACTGCCTCAGCAATCACTGTTGCAACTATTGAGCACATACAGGTCAGATACCAAACACACATTATCTCTAATAATTAAACAACCCTATAGGGGTGGTTTGGATTATCCCCATTTTGCTGATGAGAAAGGTCAGGGAGGTTGATGAAGTAAATAGGTGTTCCAAAGCCTRAGTTCTTTCCACTGTGGCCCACAGTGCAGAATTGTTTGTCTGTTCTTGAGAAAAGTATTTAAGTTGCAGTGGGGAAAAAACAAAAGCTGTGGGCTGGGCTTGTGGCTCAGTGGTAGAGTGCTTGCATAGCATGTATGAGGCCCTGGGTTCGATCCTCAGTACCACATGAAAATAAATAAATAAAATAAAAGTACTATGTCCAACTAAGAGTAAAAAATAAATATATATATATATATATATTTTAAAAAGCTGTTTTGGGAATATGTAATAGAAATCATTAAGATGTTCATATTCATTCAGCTAGTTACCCTGCCTTTGGGGAATTATCCCAAGAAAATAATCTGGGACATTTTCTTCTTTGTGTTTTATATAGCCAAACATTAGAAAGTATATATGTGTTCAAAATCAAGGAAATGCTTATATAAATTATGTTATATACCCTTGATGAAATTGTATGTAATCGTTAAGTGTACTCAAATATGAAGACCATTTAGCATAATAGAAAACAGAAATTTTTTGGCCCTGAATCAAGGCCAGCAGTTTGTTGAAGCTGTTGGTTTCAAGCAGGAGCCTAAAGAAATGTCTTTCTATGGTCTGTTGGCTACTTCAGAACTTTAAAAGTGTAATAGTCAATTCAATAGAAAGAAACATCTGAAGTGGGGTGGGGGGGAAGAAAACAGAAATTTTAATATGACACACTAGGTTATTTAGGACATCAGATGAAATAATGATTTATTGTTTTAAAAGTTATAAAATATTTTACCAGCTTTTTTCTTAAATGTATAGAAAGATCACCTGTAGAAGAAATACATGGTTTGGTTTTCCTACATGACCTCCTAAAGATACATATAATGACTAGAATATTTGTATGACTACTAGAAATTAAATGTTGGAGTTTATTATCCTAAGTCATTTTTTTCTTTTCTTGTAGTTTGAATAATTATGAATTGAGTTTAAAACTAAATATCAATGGCATTTATAGTTGTTTGCATTTCCTTAAAAATTTTTGTTGAAATTCAGAGTCCACTTGTTATAAAGTTCATGTTGACAGGATAAAATTTTTTATTCTTTTAAAGTCATCTTCTAAGTAGAGGTATTTCGGGCTGGACAGAAGGGAAGGGAGGGGGCATGCGGTAGGCATGATAGTAGAATGAATCAGACATTATTATCCTGTGTGCATATGATGACATGATCTGTGTAACTCTACACCATGTACAACCAGACCAATGAGAAGTTATACATACCCCATTTATGTATCAAAATTCATTCTACTGTCATGTATAACTAATTAGAACAAATGAAAAAAGGTCATCATTCTTCTCGAGATGCACTAATACAAAGAAAATGAGGTATGACTCTAACAAATTAATACACACTGTGTGAGGATATCATCCAAACTTGTGTTTACTTTTATTGAAATAGAATTAAATGTTTTGTACTAATGTTTCCAAAGCAACCATTAAAAAATAATTTGAGAAAGCTTTTATATGATTATTTAAGCTATTATATGTTTGACTGGTAACCAATATCAAAAATATTAGTCTAAATTAGTTATATTGTGTATTCTTATTTAAATTYTCAGTTCTTCCTTTTATGTATGTAGTCTCTAAGAACAGAAAAACTCAAGAAAGAATTAGGAAAGAGCCGAGTGTGGTGGTGCACTCCAGTGGTCCCAGCAACTCAGGAGGCTGAGAAAGGAGGATTGCAAGCTTGAGGTCAGCCTGAGCAACTTAGTGAGACCCTGTTTTATAATTAAAAAGTAGAAAGAAAAGTAAAGAGGCCTGGAAATGTAGCTYAGTGGTAGAGTACCTCTGGGTTCAACCCCTAGTGCCTATATAAGTAAATAAAGTAAAATTATGGATGAAATTTAAAAATACTTGACTGTTGAAAATAAGTTTTTCATGAATAGCTATGGGTTACATATAAATACCTCAAAACTACATGGGCAAATGAACAGTGTTACAAAAGTAACAAGTGATTACTTATGTAGGGGAGGTGTGGCATGTCTATTAAGATGATGAAAATGTTATTTCCTATACTAATTTATTCAGCAGAGAGAGAGCARTTGTATTTTTAACGTTAAAATGTATTATTTTTTTAGATCAAGTTGAGTGAAGTTGTTGGCTCAGGAAGAGATGGCAGAATACTTAAAGAAGATATTCTCAACTATTTGGAAAAGCAGACAGGAGCTATATTACCTCCTTCACCTAAAGCTGAAATTATACCACCACCACCAAAACCAAAAGACAGGACTGTTCCCATACCAATATCAAAGTCTCCACTATTCACAGGCAAAGATATAACGGAACCTGTAAAAGGTAAAGTCCTAACAGTAACACACAGCAACAGTACGTTTGTTTAGGAGGAAGCTACTTTAATAGATGCATGTCTATAATACAATGTTTTTAATTCTTACTAAAGGGAAAGTTCAAATTCAGCATATAATTTATAATAGCTTTTCTAGAAACACTTCAATTGATTAATATAGTTAATTTCTGAAGAATGATACTATGTCAGGTTTATAAGTAATATAATTGAATGTTTTCCAGGCTTTCAAAAAGCAATGGTTAAGACCATGTCTGCAGCCCTGAAGATACCTCACTTTGGCTATTGTGATGAGGTTGACGTTACTGAACTGGTTAAGCTACGAGAAGAATTAAAACCTATTGCTGCAGCTCGTGGAATTAAACTCTCCTTTATGCCCTTTTTCTTAAAGGTGAGATTTCATTTGTTTCAGACATGTTTGTGAGTAGGATATTGACTTTTTTTTTTTTTTTTGCAGAAATGCATTGTGCTAACCAGATTTGAATAAAATATTACTTCTCACCATATCGTATAGTTAGAAAAATGTGCAGGCACATTATTTTTTGCCTAAGAACTTATAAAATTGGAATTGTGTATTATATTCTTATCTGCTTATTTCTCTGAACATGGGGATGGTGTTGGGGGTTGGAATTATCCTGCCAGTTAGGTAAAGCTTTTAATTCTGAAAGGATCACAGAAAAGTCTGCTTTGAACTATAATGAGATTTGGTATTGATTTTGTATATTGCTGACATGCATTTATTTTCATTTCTTCAACAAACTTAGGTGGAGGCTTCTGTAAATCATTTCTAGTGTCACAGGTGTTGGGGCCAGTATTACAATGAAACCATCAGCTGACTTTGAGCAACTCATAGTGTAGCTCACATTAATGACCAGTGTGAAGTAGCTACCATGTGGTAGGCTGTAGTAAGCATGCCATGTGTAATATCTCTTAATCCTCAGAGTAACCCTGACATGTAAATATTACTGACCTCATTTTCTTTTTTTTTTTTTTTTTTTATCATCAGTTCATTTATTAGATTAGAATCTTAAATCCTTAAAGCATGAGCTCAGAAATAACCCAGGAACTTAAAATTGAATAAAATTTTTACAAATTGAAAAAAACATTTTAAAGAATATTTTTAAAATATTTAATAGTACATATAGGATGGAGAGTGGACGAGCTTCAGGAGCTTTATTCCCAATTTTTTTATAATACATAAAATTATTAATGTTTTTCCCCATATGATTAAAAATATGCACATCTCAAGTCACTTAAAATAACTGAATCAATTGAGAATACTRATAAGGTAGTAATTTTTAATCTTATTTTCACAGTTTTTTTTCTTTAGAGACATCAAAATGGATCATTCTAGCAGGCAGATTAGATGTCTCCCATTTGTTTATTTCATTTGACAATAATGCAAACAGATTTCCAGCTTTATCAGACTTTATCAAGAGGGCAACATCTTATTGTGGGAAGAGCCGGAGATAATGACTGACCTCATTTTCTTTAAAAAAAAAAAATGTAGGCCTCCAAAAGATTGAGAAACCTGTCAAGGAAACATAGCTAACCATAAAAAACCTTAAGTTTCTGGTCCTGGTCTATTTATTTGAAAGTGCATACTGATGTTTCTATCTTCTTGCTACACAAGACTGATCTTCCTTAAAACAAATTATTTTATTAGTTCCTGATTCTTTTCAGGGGTTCTCCTTCTTTGCCTCTAGGATAGTTTCCAAAATCCTTATTGTGACATTCAAATACTTTTAAGTTCCTGCTGTCTACATCTCCAGTCTTCTCTCACATGGTCGCTGCCTCTGATAGTCATAGTAAGCTATGCCTAGTTGGTGGAATATATAATTCCTTCTTAAATGCTGCTCTTCTCTTGACCAAATACCTGCACATCCTAAATACCAAATTGTTCAGATATAAACTCTTCTAGAAGCTTCTGTGGCTGTCACTGTTTGAGTTAAATACACTTTTCTTTCCCCTTCTAATGTGTATATCTCAGTGTATTGCCAGTGTTTACTTGGTTGTCTCTCTGCTGGACACTGAGACTCATGAGACAGAAACCATTCTCTTTGAGCAACCACCCTGACAAGTAAGTGCATGCTGTATAGAAATGAGATATAGTAGATGTCTGTAGGTGAAGGAAAGCATCTGGACTCTGTGACAGATGTAGGGAGTCAGCTGTCGAGATGAGGCAGTGGAAATAGGTGGAAGACATCACACAAATTGTGTGTGAATTAGAAGGTGGTGAAGGATTACATGGGGATGAGTAGAAGTTGAATTGGCAAAGAAAGTTGACGGTGAGTGGAGATAGACCCGGAAAGAGTTGCTTAGAAGCCAGGTAACTGGTTTCTGTTGCTATACAGCAAATTACCCTAAAATTTAATTATTTAAAAAATAGCTGTTTAGGGGCTGGGGCTGTAGCTCAGTGGTAAAGTGCTTGCCTTGCATGTGTGAGGCACCAGGTTCAATCCTCAGCACCACATTAAAAATAAATAAAGATACTGTGTGTTCATCTACAATTAAACAAATATTAAAAAAAAATAGCTGTTTATTGAATCACTTGAGTCTTCAGGAGAGTGAGTGAGTCTGCTGACCTCAGCAGTGTTCTCATATCTGTAGTCAGCTCATACGTGGGCAAGGGACAGGCTGGTATGGAATGGCCTCCACAGGGATGAATCCTTTCTCTTCCACATCTCTCTTCTCCCCAGCATGCTCACCTATAAATGGTCTCAGCACTGGAAGGGTTGACAGAGAAAGCAGAAATGTGCAAGCCCACTCCCCCCCCCCCCAGACCATTTTTTCCCCTAGCTTTGCTGCTTCGAATTTGTTCTTATCTTTGACCAAAACAAGTCACATATTTAAGCTCAATGCTTGATAGGGCACTATTAAGGGCCGGGAGGCCAGGAAGAGTGGGATCATTGATTCAGCCTTTCTTGCCCCAGAGAAAGGAGGGAAGTAGATGGCAGTTATGTGCTTCACAAAGGTTAAACAGGACAAGGGTAGCAATGCTGTTGGAGTAATCATTGGGAAGTTGTGAGTGGTCTCTCACAAAGACAGGTGGAAGAAGGTGTTGTTGAGGTACAAGTATGATTGCAGTTCATTGGGAATGAATAGGTATTGAAGAAGAGGAGAGACAAAGAAATTCCCCTGGCCTTAGGGGAAGAAGAGTTGGGTTGGGAGGCAACCTTGAATAGCAAGAGAGTGCCACCATGTTTTGACTGGCTTTTTCTTACTGCCTCCTGGTGATAGCATGTCTATTTGGAAGCTAGAGTAGACCAGTTCTTAAATATATTAGATCTCTTTTATTGTTTTATTGCCATTTTTCTTTATTGTTCCAGTCTAAATGAAATATCTGATAGATATTTTAAAAATAAAATTTAGTGAACTTTGTTTTAAAATACCATATAGATTTCAGAACGTTTAAAAAATACTATAAGGGCTGGGTTGTAGCTCAGTGGTAGAGCTCACACGCGGGAGGCCCTGGGTTTGATTCTCAGCGCCACATAAAAATAAGTCAATAAAAATATTGTGTCCACTTACAACTAAAAAATATTTTAAAAAATACTATAAAATATTTATGTAGGAGGAAAATTACCTAATCCATGGGCATGTGTCTTGTATTTTCTTTTATAAATTTGGGTTATGCTCAAAAAACACTGTTTTTTTTTTTTTGTTTTGTTTTTTGGAGGTGGGGAACATGTACTGGGGATTGAATTCAGGGGCACTCAACCACTTAGCCACATCCCCAGCCCTATTTTTTTTTCTTTGAGTTGTCAATGGACCTTTACTTTATTTATTTATATGCAATTCTGAGAATCAAACCCAGTTACTCCCACATGCTAGGCAAGCACTCTACTTCTGAGCCACAACCTCAGTCCCCCTTTTTTTGTATTTTATTTAGAGACAGGGTCTCACTGAGTTGCTTAGCGCCTCACTGTTGCTGAGGCTGGCTTTGAACTCACAGTCTTTCTGCTTCAGCCTCCCAAGCTGCTGGGATTACAGGGTGTGCCACCATGCCTGGGTCACAACACTTATTATGTGTAATACTTTAGTCTTACTTATACATTTCTACATGAAGAAGATAAAAGTTATAGTTAACAAATRAAATGCTTTCTAAAACTTTCAAGTCATAAAAATTCAGGAATTTGTAACAAATGTTTTCATTGTATTTGACCTTCATTGATCTAATTCCTTAACCCATCCTATCTAAACTAATCATTTTGAAAGATTTCCATAACTTTCCTTAACTCTAGTTCAAGTATTTTATTTATTTATTTRTTTTCCTGTCAGACCACAGATCCAGACAGAGATAACAAAACAACACAAGTAAACTAAGACTTTTAATAGGTCTAGATGAGGGCAGTAGGGAAGTGGATTCTTTTTAAGAACAATCTTAAACAGTTTAATTTTGCTGCCTTTTAAGTTTAATACAAGTCACGACCACCCAATACAAGTGAACCTCGATATTAAATCCTGCATGGGTGGAGAAAGCTATTGAGAGTATTTTGGGTACAATTGGGGAAATCTGAATATGCGCAGTAGAGAAATGGTATTAAGGGAAAAAAGATGAAGGGAAATTAAAGGAGAAGGCAAAGAGGAAGACATAGAGGTGATTCAGTGATTCAAATTGGTTGAGAGTAACAGTGGAAGTGTTGTGCCTCAGTGCATTAGGCTTGAGATTAAACTCAGCATAGATGATTCTCTCCTTCCTTCTTTTATATCTCTTATTCCTTCAAATTCCTTATCCTTTCTGAGTTCAAATGCTAACTTTGCATTCTCTTTCTGTTAAACAGGCTGCTTCTTTGGGATTACTGCAGTTTCCTATTCTTAATTCTTCTGTGGATGAAAACTGCCAGAATATAACATACAAGGTTGGCTATGCAATGTGAAAGTGTCTGTTAAAAATAGAAGATGATGCTTGTAGGTTAGAGAGACTTCCATCATACCTCAAATGGTAATCTTTTTTTATATAGAATTAAGGTATGGGATAAAACTGCCTCCCAAAAGAAGCAAGTCCCTCAAAGGTGAATTCCTAGAATTTTAAGAATGAGAATAATTTAAACGAAAAAACTAATAAAATTTGAATTCAGTTCAAGTGAACTCTTCTGTTTGGAGTTATTAAGATAGAACTTTTTGTGGGATGCCAATCCTTATATACATTTCTCATTAGAAATACAGAACCAGATGTGAGCTTAGGGAATAGGGTATAGCTCAGTAGCTCAGCAGTAGAAGAGCACTTGCCTAGCATTCACAAGGTTCTGAGTTTGATCCACTGCAACACACACACACACACACACACACACACAGAGTGAGCTTAGATTCTTTAGGGGATCAGATTTAAAATATTCCAATATGATTAAAATAGGCAATTGTATTTAATTTTGTTTTAATAATTCCTGACTATATATATATATATATATATATATATATATATATATATATATATATGAATGACAAGAAATCCAGACAAAATAATGATATTTACCTTCAATTCCATGACTTTAAAGTAACTCACTGTTTATGTTGAGATAGATGTTCTTCCGGGATTTCATTTTTCATATATTTTAGAAAAATATTTCAGATTTTTCTTGCTTCTTTTTTTCTTTTTTATGTAATGTATTATGGGCATTATTATATGTCAGTAAATATAGCTTTGATATTCAACTGATCAGTAACCTATTGATAAATATTTTGATTATTTGCAGTTTCTCAAAGTTTTTCAAACTTAAAAGCAATCTGTATTCAACATCCCTATTCGTTTCTATATATTTCTGTATTTACCTCTTAGCACAAATTTTTATGAATGTTGGTATAGATTGTCAGCTCTTCTCCAGAAAATCTATACCAGTTTACACTCCCACTAACAACATATGCCCTACTTTCCTACTGGCAAAGCAATTATCATTTTTCAAAAAAATTTTTTTTAATTGTTTTATTTCTTGTCTTTTTCTTTCCTTTTTGCAGTGCTAGAGATTGAATCTAGAGACACTCTACCACTGAGTCATATCCCCAACCCTTTTTTTAAAAATATTTTTTAGTTGTAGATGGACACAATAGCTTTATTTTTTTATCTTTATGTGGTGCTGAGGATCGAACCCAGTGCCTCACACATGTGAGTTAAGTGCTCTACCACTGAGATACATCCCCAGCTCATATCCCCATCCCTTTTTATTTTTATTTTGAAACAGGATCTTGCTAAGTTGCCAAGATTAACCTTAGACTTGTATTCCTATTACCTCAGCCCCCTGAGTTGCTGGGATTACAGGTGTGTGCCACTGCACTCACCTCCAATGCTAATCTTTACTAGTCTCTCCAGATATAGAGGATATACAGGGGCTCTGAAAGCCGAACAAAATTATGCTTTTTATTTTTATTTTGAAAGATGGTCTCATAAGTTGCTGAGGCTGGCCTTGAACTTGTGATCCTCTGAGTTAAGGGCCACTATACCTGCTTAAAATCATTTCTTGAATCTGGGCACCATGGTACATGCCTGTAATCCCAGCAGCTTGGGAGGCTGAGGAAGGGGGATCACAGATTCAAAGCCATCCTCAGCAATTTAGTGAGGCCTTAAGCAACTCAGTGAGACCTCATCTCTAAATAAAGTATTTAAAAGGGCTAGAGATGTGCTCAGTGGTTAAGTGCCCCTGGGTTCAATCCCCTGGTACMAAAAAAAAAAAAAAAAAAAAAAAAAAATTGTTTCTTATAAGTCATTGTCAATTTGGAGAAAGTAGTTGTTGATGGTTATTTTAGAAAATGGTGAAGTTTTATCCTTCCTTTACTTATGTATTAAAAGACTGTTGTATAATTTTTTTATTTCTTAGGCTTCACATAACATTGGGATAGCAATGGACACCGAACAGGGGTTGATTGTCCCTAATGTGAAAAATGTTCAGATCCGCTCTGTATTTGAAATTGCCACTGAATTGAACCGCCTCCAGAAATTGGGCTCTGCCGGTCAGCTCAGCACCAGTGACCTTACCGGAGGAACATTTACTCTCTCCAACATTGGATCAGTGAGTGATGATGTTCAGATTCATGAACCATCATTTAAAGTTTTGTTCATATGCTTAGTTAAAAATATAAAATGTTATTTGCCATTTGTTCTTTAAACTCTTAATCCTGCTCTCTTTCTTTTTTTAAAGATTGGTGGCACTTATACCAAGCCAGTGATATTGCCACCTGAAGTAGCCATTGGGGCCCTTGGATCAATTATGGTATGTGTACTACATAATTAAAAACAATTTAAAGCAAATTAGGAAAGTAAGCACGAAGTAGAGTTATCATTTCTAAGTTTTTCCCCTTACTTTGTAGGTGTGAGTTTGTGAAGTTTGGCTCAATCAGTTGTTTCTTCCTAATTGCAGGTAGCCCTGCGATTCTGGTGGCTGCTGCCATGGGCAATAAATGGTGATCTAGATTGTTTAGGTTCAGGTCAATCGAAATCTTTTTCTCTGTAAAACTGAAAGTCTGTACCCACCCTGCCTCCTCCCAGCCCCCCGCATCTGCCATTCTACTCTTTGCATTAACTACTCTTATACTTCATGTAAGTGGAATCATGCATAGTTACCCTTTTGTGTATGGCTTACTTCATTTAGTATATAGTTTTCCAAGTTCATCCATATTGTAGTATATATGAGAATTTCACTTGTTTTTAAGCCTTGATAATAATCTATTGTATGTATATATTATGTTTTGCTTCTCCATTCGTCTGCCAATGAATATTTGGATTGTTTCCATTTTCTTGTCAATTGTGAATAACACTACATGAACATTAGTACAAATATCTGCTCAGCAGATACATATTTTTTATTTTATTTTATTCGCAGCACAACTTTTCATTTCTCTGGCTGTACACAATATAGCATCACATCATATGTGCAGTCATACATGTACCCAGAGTAATAATGTCCATCTCATTCCACCATCTTTGCTGCCCCTATACCCCCTCCCCCTCCCTCCTGCCCAATCAAAGTTCCTCCATTTTTCCTCACCCTCCCATTATGGATCATCATCCACTTTTCAGAGAGAACATTTGGCTTTGGTTTTTGGGATTGGCTTACTTTGTTTAGCATGATATTCTCCAACTCTATCCATTTACCTTCAAATGTAATAATTTTATTCTCTTTTAATGCTAAGTAATATTCCATTGTGTGCATATACCACAGGTTTTTTTTATCCATTCATCTATTGAAGGGTGTCTAGGTTGGTTCCACAGTTTAGCTATTGTGAATTGAGCGGCTATTAACATTGATGTGGCTGTGTTATTATAGTATGCTGATTTTAAGTCCTTTGGGTATAGAGCAAGGAGTGGGATAACTGGGTCAAATGGTAGTTTCATTCCAAGTTTTCTAAGAAATCTCCATACTGCTTTCCAGAGTAGTTGCACCAATTTGCAGTCCCTCTAGCAGTGTATGAGTATGCACTTTCCCCCATATCCTCACCAACACTTATTGTTGCTTATATTCTTGATAATTGCCATTCTGACTGGAGCAAGATGAAATTTTAGAGTTGTTTTGATTGCATTTCTCTAATTACTAGAGATGTTGAACATTTTTTCATATATTTGTTGATTGAAAGTATATCTTCTGAGAAGAAGCAACTTAGCCCATTTATTGATTGGGTTTTTTGTTGTTGTTGTTTGGTTGGTTGGTTGGTTTTTTTTTTTTGTTGTTTTTGGTGTTAAGTGTTCTGAGTTCTTTATGTATTCTGGAAATTAATGCTCTATCTGACCTGCCTATGGCAAAAATTTGCTCCCAAAATGTAGGCTCTCTCTTCACCTCATTGTTTGTTTCTTTTGCTGAGAAGAAGCTTTTTAGTTTGAAACCATCTCATTTATTAGTTTTTTATTTGATTTGATTATATTTGCACTTTAAGAGTCTTGTTAAGGAAGTCGGGGCCTAATCTGATGTGATGAAGATTTGAGCCTACTTTTTCCTCTATTAGGCGCAGGGTCTCTGGTCTAATTCCTAGGTCCTTGATCCAGTTTGAGTTGATTTTTGTGCATGGTGAGAGATAGGGGTTTATTTTCATTTTGTTGCATATGGATTTCCAGTTCTCCCAGCATCAGCCAGGTGTATTGTTAAATAATTGGTTTACCTATGGTTTCTTCAAGATATGAAGTATAGATTTTAGAATTGTGACTTAATGTAGTCTTTGTTCAGTAGGGACAAATAGTATTTCAATTCTCTTTCCCTCCATTTCATCTCTCCTTTCCTGTATTTTTTAACTATAAATTTTAAACTCCTTATTGCTAACTTGTCTAAGACACTAAAACCTCCTTGATACTCAATACTGTTCTCCTTTTCTTGACTTTTATTTTTTTAATATTATTTTTAGTTGTAGATGGACACGGTATCCTTAYTTATTTATTTCTTGTAGTACTGAGGATCAAACCCAGTGCCTCTCACCTGCTAGGCAAGCACTCTACCACTGAGTACAACAATCCCTTGCTATACTGGTTTTCCTCCTGTCTCGGTGCCCATTAGCTCTGAGTCTCCTTTGTTGTACACTCTCATTTCCCCAATATCTAAACATTGGAGTACCCAAGCTCAGTTCTAGCCCTTTTCTTTATCTGATCCAGTCTCACGACTTTAAATACCATTTACACACCTATGACTCTCAAGTTTGTATCTCCAGACTGGACCTCAGCTTTTAATCCTCCTGCTTGGAGGTCAATAAGCATCTCAGGTTTTAACAAATCTAGAACTAAGCCCCTGCTCTTTTTCTCTCCACCATCCTGTTCCTCCTGAAATCTTCCTCATTTGTGAGTAAGAGTTCAGCTCAGACACCTCCGGTGGCTTTTCATCTCGCTCAGTCAAAAACAAGGTAGCCACAATGGCCTACCTAGAACCACAGGGATGCCACTTAGTGTGACCAGGGACCCCCATTGGGCTGCAACTGTTATGTCTAAGCCATGAGGCAGTAAGTACAGATGGAAAGGGTAGGCCTTGGAAACTTTTAAAGCAGTTTACAGAGTGATTTTTGTATAACAAATCCAATAAGAAGTTGGAGCTAGTAATTTCTATTTCTTTTTTTTTTTTTTTTTTTTTTTTGGTTTCAGGGATTGAACTGAGGCACTGGACCACTGAGCCACATCCCCAGCCCTATTTTATATTTTATTTAGAGACAGGGTCTCACTGAGTTGTTTAGCATCTTGCTTTTGCTGAGGCTGGCTTTGAACTCACCATCCTCCTGCCTCAGCCTCYTAAGCCACTGGGATTACAGGCATGCATCACTGTGCCGGGCTCTATTTCTTTTTTTAATAGTTTACTTTTAGTGTGCTTTTTAAAAAATAGCCTACCATGGATTAGACATTGTATTTTAAGAGAAGATCCTTTACCAAATATAAATTGAGAAACACTGCCTTTCATGACATGCCCCCACCCCACCCCATGTTCCACTCTCACCCCTACCCTCCATTGTAGTCACCTTCCAGCTTTGGTTTTCCCACAACACTCTAGTTGGGCTTCCCTACTATCTCCTCAGGTATCCATAAGGCTCATTTCCTTCTTGTCTTCAGTGAGAGGGCTTGGAATCCTCAACTTTTTTGGGCTCTCCCAGGGTCCATAGAGTACCTGGCACATAATAGGTGCTTGTTAAATATTGGTAAATATTTGAAATTGAGATGAAGTCTATGGTAGGTATGACAATTATATAGAGATATAAGATAACCTTGTAGTAACTGAATGCTTAGGGCATATCCTCCCAAAGATAGGAATAATAATAGTATTTTGGGATGTCTACATCATCTCTATCATAGAGAAGAGGGTTTGCCTGATTTTATACCATTGTCAGCAGAGTTTGACTTTTGAGCAATGAAAGTTTACCTATTTATTTGTTTTGCTTATTTCTAGGCCCTTCCCCGATTTAACCAGAAAGGAGAAGTATATAAAGCACAGATAATGAATGTGAGCTGGTCGGCTGATCACAGAATTATTGATGGTGCTACAATGTCACGCTTCTCTAATTTGTGGAAATCCTACTTAGAAAACCCAGCTTTTATGCTACTAGATCTGAAATGAAGATGAATAAGACATTCTTGAACTTTCTGAGCTTCCAAAGTATGTAAAGCCTCGCTGTGCCAGCACACATTCTTCATCATAATTTGTATTATAAATGATTTGTATTATATGATCAAGGTTCTAAGGCACAATATTTATCGATATTATGTTAACTGTTTAATGAAAATGAGTAATAGTGTAATAGGTCTCCTGGGGCTGTCACATTTTATAGGTCAGAGTGGGACTTCTTAATATGGTGCTGAGGTCTGTGTGTCAGTGGATTGAAACTGACAAGAAAACAAAAGCAATGTTACTAACAGGCAAGTAGCCGTATACACACAGCGTTTGCTTCTTCCTTCCTTCCTTTCTTTCTTAACTAATTCTTAATGAAACTTTATACTTAATTGGGGAAAGGAATTTGTATACCACAACATTTTCCATTTCCCTATAATCATGCTTATCGATATATAAGTGCAATTATACTTCTTTTAAGATATTTGAGTATATATATATACTCTTGCTCTGTGTAGAGAGAATCATGTATGAATGCCTTATTTATATAAATTAACATCTTTTAAAAGGGGAAATTATAGCCTAATCTTAATGATAGTTTTATAATCAGTAAGGCTGTTAAAGGTTTAAAGTAGATATACTTTGGCATTTAGTTGGGAAGAAACTTCACTTTCAACAACTTACTTCATGTGAGGAAAGTACTTTAAATGTTGCAGCTGCTGATTTTTTTTTTTTTAATTCAAAAGCCTGCTGCCTTTTAATTTTCTTGATTTTTAGCTACAAATAGATTAAGAAAAGAAAAAAGTGTCTATTCCATCCTCCATATCCTGAGTAGGAACATGAATAAAAGGAGAGAAGAGTCTGATGAGTAATTATGAACATAAAAATAAAATAATGAAATTTATTCAGAAAGGAAGGCTTCATAATGATTATTTTGTTAAAGGTTCACTTTAATCAGAAACATCAAGATGAATGTAATCTAGCATTGGGAATTGAATTCAGAAATCTGAGTTGTTTCTGATATTGTTCAATTGAATACTGTATGCCAAAATTCATTGTTCATGTGAAGTTTTGCGGCAGAAAAAGATCATTTTAATGTCTACTTTTTTTATAAATGGGAATAGTTTTTAAGTCAAAATAATAAATTAAATAAATGCTGTTATTTTAAAAATTCAGATAATATGGAAGTTACAAACAAAATAAGATATAATCCATAGTCCTACCACTATTAACATTTTGATGTATCTATATGCTTATTCTTTTTATAAAAATTGGATCATAGTATATGTACTATTTGATCATTTTAATTTTTTTTCAACTTGTCATTATATTCTGGATTCCTATATGTCAATAAACAGTTCCACATTATCATATTTTAAATGACTGTATAATATTCCATTGATGTATTTATTATACATTCAGATATCAAACATCTACTGTATACTAAGAATGGTTCTAAGCACTGTGCACACAATGCCTGCCCTCATGGTCCCTGCCTTGATTGGACTTACAGTCTAATGAAGAAAACAGATACTAAAATTCATAAAAATAAAAATATATTTATATTTCTATATAGGGAAAAGAACAGGATACTAAGAACTATCTAATAGAAGTTTCTGAATCTGTCTAAGACAATCAGAAGATAGGTGTCGTATAATTTAACCAGTTCCCCACTGATGGGCATTTGCTGTATTTTAAATGAAGAATAACGTGATCAGTAAAGCCTTATCCTTTGCATAAAGGAGAAGGAGGCCTGAAGTAAATATGCAACATATTTGCCTGAAGGTTCAACATCATTGGCTCAAGATAATTCTCATCATCTTGTCCTATATCCCATGCCAATGCCATTATCATCTCTATAGTCTCATCCATTGAGAATTCAACAAAGGATTCATTCCCTGTTTTGTGTAGGACCTTCAGGATGGCAGGATCCCCTGGAGGAAGGCAGAGGCAGGAGCCTGGCTCTGGCAGCAGTGCTATTCCACAAGGCTGTCCACATCCTGAGATGTGCCAGGGGTGAACAAAGCTCTTGCTGTGTTCTTAGCGGTTGAAATTAAAGCAAAGCAGCCAGAAAATTCATGTCTTCCACTAATATGTCTTCACTAATATGGGACTAATAGCAGTTACCAGGGTTTTGTAAATGGAAAGAAAGCAAAATCATTGCTAAGAATGGCCAAAAAGGAAATCAAGGTTCTGTTCATTATGCAGAATAATCCTCTGACATTTGAAAATGAAGCACAACAGGGAGGGARGTTTGAAAGTATCCCCCAGAAAAGCATGTGTTGGAAATGTAATCCCCAATGCAAAGTGTTAGAAAGTGAGGACTAATGAGAGGTGTCCAGGCCATGAGGGGTTCACCCTCAGGCATGGATGGATCAATGCTGATTATAAAAGCGCTTRAGGCTGCACTTTCAATCTCTTGCTTTCTCTAACCATGTGATGCTTTCTACCATGCTGAAACAGAAAGAAAGCCCTCACCAGAAGTTACTCCTCAATCCTGGACTTCCCTGCCTCCAGAACTGTAAGAAATAAATCTCCGTTCTTTTTTTTTTTTTTT